GGTGTATATTATATTTCTAATAATTCTATTTCTTCCCTTTGTTTTTCTTTTTAAATCTGTTAATAGTTTGTGTAACTACTGTAGTAGGGAATTGGTTTATGTTAGTAAAGCATTGAATTAAGTGTGCAACTTCTTCATCGATGTTTATCAGGAATACTAAATCTGTACCGAAATCATTCTCAGTAAAACATTTCCTCAAAAGTAGTTCATCTACTTGTGTATGTTTTCTTTTAGGGTCTGGAAATTTGCATGGAGACTTTTCATGGCCAACTGTACTTCTGCAAATGTACACAAGCTTAGATATAGATGGACCTAGAAATTGAAACAAACAAGAATCGCAAGCAATAAAGACAAGAGTAAACCTTCATTTTCACATCATCATCATCATCAAATGTCATGATATTCAATAGTAGCTCTGGTTCTGATGACATATTGCTCTGTTTCTTCAAAATATTATGATTATCTATAGGCAGTAGATGGAACAGCAGTCACTGGCATATTAATTTTCTGTACTATTGTTTGCATGTTCACATATTTGGTGAATGTTTGCTTCAATTTAATAGCCTGATTTTCTAATATCTGTATAAAACAATTTTTATAATACCATGATTAGTAAGAATATCTACCTTTACTCACAAGTAAGTATATTATTTTATTACAAGTTACAGCTTTTCAAAACTTAATGTACATGAGAATGATTACACCAGTGATCGAAACGTTGTACCAGTTCTAAAATATAATCTTCCTTACTGTAAAAGCTGTAACTTGTAATAAAATAATACTTAATCAGTATGGGGCCTGGCATGGATAGGTGGTTAGGGCGCTTGACTCGGAATCTGAAGGTCGCAGGTTTGAATCCCCGTGTTACCAAATATGCTCGCCTTTTCAGCCTTCGGGCCGTTATAATGTGACGGTCAATCCCACTATGCGTTGGCAAAAGAGTAGCCCAAGAGTTTGCGGTGGGTAGTGATGACTAGCTGTCTTCCCTCTAGTTTTTCACTACTAAATTAACGCATATACTCCTCGTGTAGTTTTGTGTCAAATACAAAACAAAAAAAGCAAACAAACTTAATCAGTAAGTAAACTCAAAACGAAAGAAGTAAACGTAGTTTCAACAATAATCGTAATGTCATTATGAGCCACTAGAAGTAACCGATATACAAATACTTGATTTTTGAATAAATCTACCAAATTGTATGGATCCATGTATAGTTTAATGAATATCTGGATTATTTTGTTGCTGCTGTTAAGGAAATACTTAGAAACTTATGTTTACTTTTAATAGTTGCCTTACCCCTGATTCCAAACACCCTGTATCAGTGTATGTGAACTTAAATGCAATAAGGGTAGGCGTTGCAGCTTATCTCCTTTTGCAACAGGTGTTGCACGTGATGCGGGAGGTTTTCGTTTCCTTTGTAAAAATAAATTGAACCTGAGAACAATCATAAAAGATAATTTTAGTTGCGATTTTATATTTTAAAATCCTATATTATTAGTCTGATTAACATGTCTTGAGAAACTACGTAGGTGAAACACTAACAGTCAAAATTAAAAACTAAGTCTAATACCAATTTTTCTGTATTACTAATGTTATAATTAACAACTTTGATAGTTTACTTTAAAAGGTGTTACATTCGCCGGAATTGGTTCAGAGTGTTTCTCGGTAGGCCTTCTTCTTCCAACGAGATGTTTAGAACAGATGTATGTCTTTTGTAACACGCCTTTCATCAAAACCAACACGAGAACGTGCTCGAATGCGGAGATTGGGTGAAAGCCGGAACCACACAAAAGTACCCGGAAGGGCCATTTATTCAACTTTGATCACCATAAAAACTACATCAAATACTTTCTCTTGTTTCTGTCCTCATAAACAAAATAAAATTATTGCAAAACCACATTTTATATTTGCATAATTCATAAACATGTTGACGGAACCACACAAAAGTGCTTCTCTTCTCAATCGCCAGATGCTCAATCTAGTGATCGTCTCAGTTAATGGTGGACAACCACTCACTCTTATTGATCAGTAAATTGACATTGATCAACTGTTGAAGCTGTTACCTCAGTATCTGGTCGCTCTTCATCTAGTTGGGGATCATCAGATACATCTATTTAGCTCTTTCTCCCCCATGATATGAGTTGGCATCCTCATCAGACTCTTGGTTAAGCCAGTGAACCAAAGTCTCATCTGTGACATATGAACACAGCTTATCAAAGTATTCCACATGCTTTCCCGTGCCTTGAATTCACTGTAACTCGTATATTTATGGACCAACTTGTTAGAGTGCAAGTTATGGACCAATTCAGCTGGATCCAAATTTCTTCTGTGCTGCTGACATGTGCCACAACCAGATCCACTTCCCACACTGGAACATCCATTCTTATATTGTCCAATCATAACACTGCTGCCATAAAGTAACCTTCCTTAGTTGTTATCAGATGAATTCGTACATGTACACCATTATATTCCTGTGGACACTGCGGTACATCTTTTCATGGTGGAGGAACATACATCACATAAATGAGGAGGTGAACTTCCTGCCTTAACACGTTTCTTTGCTTTATATGCCATCATATGATACGTGTTCATCCAGTCAGTTCTGTTGAGAATTCACAAATTCTGTAAGCATCTGTTGGATAGTATGTATTACTCATTCTAATAAATCATCAGAATGGGGTGATGAGGTGAAGTATGCATCCAGTATCTTTTTTACAAGTGAGTCAAAACAAAAGTACTCTGTAATAAATTTTTTGCATGAGCCTGTTATTATTTGCAGGTTCTACAAAGTATGTTGGGAAAAACAGTTTATCTGGAAGTACCCCAGTATTAATTGAAATGCTAGCTACCCCTAAAGTTCAAGATACCAAAGAAACCAATAATTAATAGCATTGTCATATTTAGTACAACAGTAACCACAGTATACAAGAAAGAAGTTGGTTTTCATGGTGGCAAAGTGAATCCAGAAATTTCAATAAACATTTTTGTCAATTGTAAGACTTAAAACATTTCTTTAATGCCCTAGTACGAGTATGCAAAAAAATTTGGGGGATAAATGGTTTAGATTTAAAACGGGAAATAATTTTGTTCTGTAAGGAATAATAATAAATTTTGATGGAGTTGTTTTCTTTTGCAAAGTTTAAAAAAATTGCTAATGATTTTTAAGAACAGTAACACAATAATTGGAAATGGTTTCTTACAAATTGTGTAAATAATGTCATTGTTATAGTTTTTTTCAGTTTAACAATAGACGGGAAACCTGAAATTTTTACAAGTGAAACAATAAGTGACAATGCTGTAAGCTTCTAAATTGACTGAAATGTAATAACAACAACATTTATTCTTTTCTCTTAAAAATGAATAGCAATGCTGTAGTTTAGTTGCAAAAATTAAAATATTTTAAAGACTGTTAAAATATATATTTTTTTAAAAAACAGCAGTAGATGAAAATGCTGTGATCTTTCCTTGAAAAGTAAACAAATGTTCTCTTGCAAGGAATAATTATAAATTATATCTTAATTTTTCTTGCAAGAAATTAACAAATTAAACTTGTTACCTTAAACTCGCACACAACTATATATTTTGCAAACAAAGCAATTAGGTGTTCAACTTCATGATAACAAGCCCTGTAACAATGTCCAAATAGAAATAAATTATTGCTGCTGGTCACTTTTTAGCCTATTAAAAAAAAAGTTTGTTCCTCATAGAATATTTAAGTCAACAAGGTTGTTTTTCTGTTACTATAATTTTAGAAATCACTTTAAAAAGTTGAATCCTACCAAATTCTGTTCTTAGTAGTTTTGTTTCCATTGCATCAGTCACAGAAATTCTGACCATATTTTGAAAGTACATTGTAGGCTGTGGAATGCAATACATTAGCCTTTTCTTTAAAAAAGGTTTAACATCTTCCGGAACAATTACTTTTTGTAATGTAAAAATCTGAACACTGACATTATCTTGTGTTAGGTAACTAATATATATAAATACCTTTGGTTACAAATCTACAATACATTTTCTACCTTTTATATGCCACTGAGACAGTTTTATAATTTAGTTTTTTGGAATGTTTTTGATTTAGAATTCTTGTATTACGGCACACACACCCACACCTGATTTTCAACTGACAGATTTGAGGAAAAGCAGTCAACAGATTTTAGATTATCCTTGTCTGACTGAATAGTAGGACTTCATGACACTCTTGTAGCAGATCCATAGACTCAATGTGGCAATTACATAGAAACCACGAACTTTTGGATTCACAGTTCAAACATGCTAACCTCTACGTCACACTCAGCCTCACAAAATTAGAAATTATATTAACTTCTGTAGCTATTAATAAACACCACACAATGTTAGTACACTATGCATTGAGTTGTACACCTAAGACTGATACCTAGCAGGATTTAAAGAAATACTTCAAAAGGTTGGTCATAAAACTTCATACATTACTTTTTTTTCCATTTTCACCAGACATTATACATGGATAGATGACTGTGTTGATCCAATTTCATCCTAAAATATGTCTGTAGCTGACTCAGATTTTGTTTTTTATGAAAAAGAAACAGATGTCAGTAATTGGTGTGTGTGTGTGTATAATATATACACACATATATTAATATAATATATATATATATTCTTCAATGTTAATGAAGAAAGAAGCATACACACAGTTTAAAGTTTCATGAAATTGCTGAATAAAAATACTTTATGTACTTTAAAAGAATTTTTATGACAAAAATTAGGTGATAACACTTGGTTTTATTGATTTTTATGAGAAAAGACTGAATACAATACAAAGCCATGTTATAATTTTCATGCAGAACATGAGGTTCTCGATGTAGTTTTAAGGCTACAATACCACAACCCCATCTAATTGTGTTTTTTTAAAAGATTTTTCTTGAGAAGCACTGCTTGAACTAGTTTGAAAGGATAAATAACAGTACTTAATCCAATCTCCTTCATTTTCATGAGAAAGATTAGAAGAAAATTAATAAAAAACAAAAGTTTTACAAAAAAATACTTAATAGTGCTTGATATGTTTTACATTTTGAACATAATATTGGTTAATAATGAAAGATTAACAATCAACAAAATCAGATTATGATTTTAAAACTACCTGAAACCTATTTTTTTCAACCTATAGTTTTGAGATTAGAATAATATGCAACATGTATATGAGAGAAACAGAAGACAAAAACTCATACTAAAAAACAGTTAATTAATTTTGATACAAAACATTTTTTATTACGTTTAATAAACTAATCAATATAAAAATACCAATAATTCTAATTTCATGTTAAACTAATTAGCTACAAAAAACGCAACTTTTTCCAAAATGGAAATCTCTGTTGGTCAAAGTGTTAAAAAACTGTAAAGTATATTGTGAGAAATAGAGAACTGAAAAAAATATTTCAAACAAATGTTGATCTCAAATCTTAGCAAATAAGAATACAACACTTAATTTCAGAAAATACAATTTTTCTAACCAACCCAATTTGGAAATGTAATTAGATACTATATGAAGAGATAATATATGACAATTCAATATAAAATGATACAAAACATAATGAAAAACAATCAGAACCATAAATAAACATTTCTCTCATATATTACCCCAGAGTTGAGTTTATTCTACACTTGATCCTATATCCTTACAACTACAGGTATACCTTTTATTCAGATGCTAAGATTCAACTAACCAAGACTGGAAGAGTCAAAAAGAAAAACAAACTTCTGTGTAAACACACACAAAAAAAAAAAAAAACACAAACAAAAACTTAACAATTGATCCAAAGAAACTGCAAAAATAGTTTGTCAATTCAAGCTAAAAATACAGTTCAACTCTTTGCTTGTTTCTTGCAAAATATTCTACTAAATTATTAAACTATTTCTTTTTCATTGTCTTACAATAAAAGTAAGCAAAATCATACTCTAAGGAAATGCAAGTTTAAAAAAACTTGAATGGATATTTTCAATTAGAATATGAAAAAATACAACATCAAATCTAAGTTCTAACACTCTCCTGTTTAGCATTCTTGAACATACTTATATATTTTAACAAAGCATGTTGCTTTTTGATCAAGCCAAGTAATTTGAAAATGTGCAATATGAATTAGTTATTATTTTGTAAGTAGGACAAAATCACATAAAAATGACCATTTAATAACAATTATATATATAGTTTATTTATTTATATACATACATACAAAATTATTGAAAACTTAAGTGAAGTTACTCAAACTTTATGTTATCAGCAAATTAAAAGTTCCAAGTTGAGATACATGTTTTGCTAGAACTCTCGCATATTATTCTAGAGGTAGATTTTACAGATACATAGTACAAGGTTATGAAAATAATGAATCTCAACTAGATCACAACTTGCATATTTATGTAGTTATAATACGAATATGTGAACGTCAACAAAGGTTATTAATTGGCAAATGCATCTCCACTTGTGCTTGTTTATCAAATGCAAGATAAAAGAATATCTAACTTGTTGAGGAAATAATAATAAAAAGCCTTGCAATGAAATCACAATGTTGGGGTGGGTATCTATTTCCAATGAAGAAACATATGGTCCCCAACCATGCATGTCTGGTACCTTCTAAATGTGATAGTTGTGGCCCTGTAATGCCAAAAAATAATAATTTAAGATTACTCGGCTTACTTATCAATGATTCTTCTAGTGTAACGATCAGCCACAATCTAATCAATAATTCAAACCCTTACTCATAGTCTCATCCTTAAGTGTTGAAAGGTTAATTTCTTATGATAAAGGCTAAATATCTATATTTTAAATGCAAAAATACACGTGTTTAAATTTTTTTGACACTTATTCAAATCTTAAAGAGTGAAAATCTATTAAACTATATATATCCTAAGAATATTTCATTTACATTTCATTACACAAAACTGAATACAGCATTAAAATATATAGCTTTAACAAAGCCTAACTTTATTCTACAAAGCCCGACTAATCAAGGTTTAGGTCATTTTAGTGAGACCATGAAAAACAAACAGGCTGACGCAACTTACTCTTCATAAAGCACCAAATGGGTCATTAACTGTTGAGGCAGTGGTGTGGGAATTACTGGTGTGAGAGGGAACAGGTTGCTGAGGCTGCATACCAGCATACATTCTCAAAGAAGATTGATGCAAAGGTAAGGGAGGACCAAAACTCATTCCCATACCAACTGGAGCCATAGGTCCTCTCATACCTGCTAACTATAGGGAAGAAATATATCAATGTGTGAGTAAAGCATTACTGTAAATATACAGCAATTTATCATGAAATAAATAAAATTTAGCTTTTAGGAAACATCTCTAGTACAAGCCTTATTTCTATAATATTTTGGGTCTTTTTTTTTTTCCAAAAATAATTACTATCTAGAAATTAGGGACTTTGCAAGGTTACAGATTTGAAGGTTTTGTTTAAGTTTGTATAAATTTAAAGATTTGTATAAGTGTTAAGACTGGAAAAATATTTATATATTTCAGAACAATAAATCTAGTTGTGATGAAATTTATTGTTTTTTTTCTAAATAGAGAGTTTATTAAATTTTCAGTTTTAATATTTAGTTTATATAGTTAAAGCAACTGGTATGGAAGGTATTTAACTTGAAAATAATTTAGCAATACTTCTATATCTTTCATACTACTGCAGCAATTTTAATTTTACATAAGCATAAAAGATAATGAAGATAAATCTTTGGTGAAATTTTAAAGCAACAGTTTTTTCATACATACCTACTGGATTTTTAATTTACATTCTTTCAAGTATTTCAGTTTTTGTTTTGGAAAACTCTCAAGTTTAGATTTAACAGAGAATAACATTTATTATAAATACACTATATATAAATCCTTAACAATACTTGTTTATAAAATACATTTATTTTTCCTATTTCACCCACTTAAAAGCTTATAATACAAAAATTAATATTACATTGACTCAGTATAGATTTAACCAGTTTTCAAAACTGAATCAATGATATGTGCAACATGTTCTAACTCAACAATATGTATCAGGTGAAATCAATGAAAAGTTATTAACTTAATAGCTAAATGATATTGGGATGGAAAAAAAAAGCCTATAATTAAAATTCTGAGCTATCTCTTAAGATTAAAATTTTATAATTACTCATTATCCTTAACCTAAGTTTAAACAGCTGACATATTGCCCTGTACTACCTTACACAACGAAGTTGTTTGGTATAGTAACAGTTCATACTTGTCTTTAATTTAAACATTTTTGCAGTCAACCATACAATTTGTAAACTAAAGAACTCTAAACTGCATGTTTCAATGAAAATAAAGTTTTTGCTTCATCAAAGCCAAACAGAGATAATGGAGTGATGGTTTAGGATATAACTAGTAATACTTCAAAGTTAAATTATATATTAAGTAATATTAGAACATACATGAAATTAAAGTCTAAAAATTGAAAGTTACGGAGGTTCCTTTTACAAGTTCTGAAAAACATGGTTATATCTGAAGACAATAAGCTATAGACAAAGTGAATAAGGTTTACAAAGAGTGTAGAAGAGTTGATCTTGAAGATACTGGAACTTAAAATCAGACTGTTCAGACTATCTTTGTTTTGTATTTTATTCATTGCAGAACATTATGCTATAAAGTAAACAGTTCTAGTTTTTCTACTGGTCTTTGTACAAGGTCAGTTGTTTTTTTGTACGAAATTGTGAACAAAACATCTAAGCATTACTAAGGGGTAAGTTTACCATTTACCCATGATGAAAGAAAGTCCACTTATGAAAGCCCTCAAGCTAACTTTTTCCCATCGATGCTGCATATTTTAAAATATTGTGAGTAAACACCAATAAGTTAAAGTTATTCCACAATGGCTTGAAAGAATCATATCTTAATTTTAATGAAATTTAAACCAGCATTTGTTTTGGCAAACTTAAAGGAAAGACATTAAGAAAAACGGTAGTTAAAATTTAAGACATTCTAATAGCAATACTATTTTTCTAAATTACTATACATTTAACTCCTCTCACTGCAATAAAAATAAAGATTATTACAGAAACCCAAACTTATATTACAAATATGTCTTAATGAAAAGATAAAATACTCTCAAAACGTTCATTACTTTAATACAGGGTGTCCCAAAAGCCAGTTGCTGATGCAACACTGAAGAAATTGAAGTACTTTTCTTGTGTTTTTATTTACAGAGTTTTGAAATAATGGCACTGAAAATTGATGAAGGTAATCTGGTATAAACATCTTCATTATTGTATTGACTTTGATGGCAGGCCTTTGCCCATGTTCTATAAACAAGTATAGAATATTTGACCTATGGCAACCAACTTACCATATAAGTATGTGGAGTAACCATACTTGGAACTGTAGTCTGCTGAGAGTAATGGCCTGCCGTACTCCAGTGGCTTGCAGGAGTCGTCTGTGATGACAAACCCATAATAAAAAAACAATAATCTAATATTCATCAACAGGATTTGCAAATATTACTTGATTCACATTTTACACATAAGTTAAAGACTTTTATGAAAGAGTTCCAAGGGAAATGAAGCAGTTTCTTGTGGATGTGAAAAACATTAGGTTTTATTATAACTGAAATGGAAACATAAATTCCTACCACAGATGCCATCTACTTGCAATGTAACAATTGCATGGAAAATTTTGTGAATGTATTTGTTGAAGCTATTCAATACTTGCATATAAGTTAATAATTGTGAATGGGGTCTATTAAAAAGCCTGTATTAACCCGTTGATTTTGATATTAAACCTTTTACTTTAAAATACATGTATCGTCAACAAAAAATTGCTGATAACCATAAATTTAACCTATTTATTTTATACCTCTGTTGGCAATAAGTAAAGTATGGTTATTTATCAAATATTTTATCATTCAGTAAAAATACTGCACATGGCTGAAAGTAGTTACAGGTCTATAAGTGATCAATGAATATATTTTCATTAAGTAAATTAGTCTGAGTCAATCATCCATCACAGTTCTCCTATAAGTTATTTAGCTAGTTCAGTGGTCTTCCAAAACGAAAACATCCAAAACCATATAACAGAAAATAACGACACTTCGGTTACCATTGTTTGTTGATATACATGTTGTGGTGATGCCCATCCCATAGGAACTACAGTTGATGGCATGGGTTGCATCCAGCTTGCCCCAATACCCGATTTATTTTCATTCTTTGGGGAACTCCACTGATGGCCTCCTTGTCTAAAAGAACAAAGAGTAAGTGGTTTAGGTTTAATGAATTGACATTATGCAAGTAATTTTCAAAAATTACATACAAATATATACAAATTCTGAGGAAGCTTAGAAACATTTTTAACTAATCAAATTCAGTACAATGAACCTATATAAACTTACTTTTTTATCTGTGGACCGAAACCAGATATATCTAGGTTCTGAGCGAGACTGGCTATACTTGAATCTAGATCACCTTTCATTATACCACTTTGGTTGGTTTTACTTTCTGTAGTTCCTCCTGCTAATTTAACAACAGTTGACTGCTGAGGCTGAAGAACATCACCAAAGGCATCGAGTCCTGTAGTTGTAATGATATTACCAAAACTCTCACAAAAAAGCTACTTTTTTCAATCATCTTAAACTTTGTACTGTTTAGAATTATATGCAAGTTTAGAAAAGTAATTAAGGAATCAGAGTTAAGATTTATTATCATTACTGTAATGTTTTGAACATTGTATTTTTTGTAAGGACCAAAAAATATATATAAAAATAAATTTGTTCTAAATTATGCTAATACAAAAGTGAATCCTGATGAATTACACATACATAAAGAAAAATAAATTTTGTGTTGCTATATGCAGGTTTAACACAATCAATCACATGTAATATATAACATAAAGGTGTTGATGTCAAAAAATAAAACAGCAAGAGGAATCTATTAAACTTATAAATTTTATTTTTTACACTTACATACAAAACAGTATTAAAAGAATTATGGAAACTTCAATCAAACTTAAGGATTTTGAATTTACATAATTCACATTTTCATTTACAGTAAAGTTTTCTCAGTTTATCAAAGTTACATTCAGGAATTTGATTCAACACTATTGCCTAACATAACTCACTCATCTTCATGACATCAAAAGAAATTATCCCAAATATACACTTTAACGTTTTGGGGAATAAATTAAGCTTAAACAATGGCAAAAATTATAATCTAAATTATCATTTCTTAAAAAGTGTATCATATCTGACTTAGGAAATCTGAATTCCTTTTGCAAGTTTCCAAAAAATTACTTCATAGATGCATTCAACTGTTTTGTGCTACTTTTGTTTCAAAACAAAGATACAAATCCACTAAATGTTTTCAAAAATAAAATAACAGATCATCAAAATCTGAAGTACCTGATCACCAAGTCTAGCACTATCAAGTTCTAAACTATAACTGGTGGTTTGTGAGGTGCAAGCAACTTTAACATTCAGTCTGTGAGTCCATGAGACTGAATTTGGGGGAGTTAGTGGTCTACAGAGGACATTAAAGTTCCTGGTATTCAAGTCAGAACAAAACAAAAATGTACCGTAGTAAAGGGCTTGACCTGTTAGAAAACTAAACCTAACTTCCCAAAGAACTCTCCTCTCAACAATGTTCAGCCAAGAATATGCAGAGTTTAGGGGGTTAGCTTGACTGTGTTCTACTTGCCCAAAATAATAGGAATGTTCATATTCAAGAAGGTATTAATTGCACTTAGTTACCTTACAGTGGTAAGTAAGCTGCATTGAGCCTTTCTTGGCAATCTCTATTGACTGAACTCATGAAATTGCTCAGGAACTAGATCTGGTATTACCCAACATTTGTGGCCACTTGTGTGTTCTGTATGAAATTTGCAACTTTCTCCTACATAGCCTAGAAATTAGTGAGAATTTGACTATTTTGATGGCCAATTCAGACTCCAAATATGGCAAAAAGTTCGAATCTCTAATCAGAATTACAAAAGAGAAAGTATTGGAAAGTTATGTTTGGTAATCAACACAAAAATATTTTCTCTTTTACTTGCAGACTGACTGGTAAGAAAAAAACAAACATAAGGGAAGCTAAGAATTACAAAACAAAATCAAAAGTGACATGAGAATAAATGAAACTGGAACAAGTATAGACAAGTGCTTCCAATAAGAACACAGCTGTTCAACAATATTGCTGCAGATGCAGTGAATTTGTTTGTAAGCTTGCCACCACAATACTCTTCTCACAAAAAATGAAATATATTTATTATCACAGTAGCTTATAATCTGCATAATAACACTCAGTGTTTGTGTGTGTCACATAACACCTCTTAAACTGCTGGTCACACCGAGTTCTAAGTGGTACCAAATGAATCCCCTTGGTCTAGAGGTTGGGGACAGGTAAAATTTTTCCAAATAATATTTACAGAACTACCCATCACTGACACTGAAAGATAAAAAATGCCTATGATCAGTCAGTATAGATTTCCCTAATAATTTTGATATTTATAAAGAAAGAGAGAGACTGTAAATTGTTCTTTATCTGGTGAAAATGTTATGTTTTATTAAAAATATTGATAGATATTTTTGTTTTTTAAAAAACATACAAGAAAATTGATGTGGAATTTTACATGACAAGATGTGCATAATCAGTACATTGTCATGAGAATCAAACATTGTTAAAGAAAGCTGACACTTTAACTTATCATCTCCATTGGTCTAAAGAAATTTCAACTGTTATCTTTATTTTTTAAATCTTCCAAAGCAGATCACACAAATTGTTTTCACAACTAAATAAAAGGCTAATGTACAGGTTTCCCCAGGTATTATTTTATGTGTTTGTTGTTTGAAAGTTAAAAGTTTCCTAATCTGAAAATCTAGTTCTGATAAATACCTCCTCTCACAAAAAGTTTTCTAAACTAGTATTGCTCTCTATCGGCACAAATTTTTCACTTACCACTAGCCTTGCAACTCCCACTTCTTTCTGCATATCAATATGCAAGTGATCATGCAGCAACCCTCAACCAATAGGAGTGCAACACAACCCTTATCATAACTAGCACCCTCTTTAATCATGCACTTGTTAATTACTTCCAGATTGTTCATAACTAATTGAATCAAATCACAATGGAAGTGGGGAGGATGGGTGGGAAATGTGAGATGTAAGTACTGATCAGAAATACATTTTGAGTTTAGGAAAATATTAACCTCCACAAAAAGCTAGAATCCCACATTGAACTGGTGGAGGGCCAGTGAGAATATGATCCTTCTTAAGAAAGCACCCAAAGAAATACCATGAGATGTGTTAAAGAATGAAAAACATCACACCAGTGGGAGACCGCTTCATTTCTGGGCCAGGTATACTCTTCGCCCTTCAGAAATGTGTCACCAAAACCTAAAGGGTGGAAACATGAAGGGGCTCAAAAAGTTTCAGCAGGAAAGGGACCTCCAGGTGTCAAGTGGCTATGGCACAACAGATCGTAAATTAGAGTTTGATCTCAACCAACACCTGGTGCCATCTAGAACTGTACATCAGATCCACAGTATGAAGATAGTCCTCTATCTTGCACCTCAAAAATGGGAACTGGATGGGAATACGAGCATACGTACCAAGAACATAACTCTGCAGGTGTACACCTCCAACACAACCAACATCCAGCAGATAGTAGAAAGTAAGGAGAGCTCATGAGGCATTCATCTCCAGTCAAAAACCTGGTAACAATGAGGATATTACTTCCAGTCTAGGCAGGAACAGGGAAGCCAGCCTTAAACGTGTGGGTAATCATGTGTTTCATCCAACATCAAATAACACCAGATCTACCATCAATCAACATCCAGCAGACAGTAGGAAGATGAGGAGAGACATCAATCTGAGGTAACATCTCCAGTTCCAAAACTGGCAGCAATAGCAATTTATCATCCAGTCTGTGGTAGGAGGAAGGAACCAGCCAAACATGTGAGGACTTATGCTACAACCAACACCTGGCAGCATCCGGAATTGTGCATTATATCTGCAGTAGGAAGTGTGTCACATCAATGACACCATCAGAATATCACCACCCTACTCTCAACTGAGTGATATTGTGCTTCACTCAGGAGGATTAGCCAACATGGTCCACCACCCCAGTCCTTCGTATTTGAAAATAGCAGGCGAGTGATTTTTACCACTCACCTGAAAAATGGTATGGTGAGTGATTTTTATAACTCACCTGAAAATTGTATGGTGAGTGATTTTTATAACTCACCTGAAAATTGTATGGTGAGTGATTTTAATCATCATAATGGAGTCAATAAAACAAACAGTAAACTAAAAAAAAAAAATCTTCATTTATTTAACTTTTTTTTCAAAACTCTGTGTATACATGTGTTATCTTCATAAAGGTTTTGCAGTATTTAGTAATTCCTCCAAAACCCTTAAAATTAACCCTTGATTATCAACATTTGATGAAAATGGGCCTAACTGAATTTTTTTCTTTTATAAGTAAGTAAAAATATTGGCAGATAATCAATGATGGTGGATGAGGATGCACAGAATAGGTTACTCCATCACCAAAGGCAGTAAATTCATGAAATTTAGGGAGAGGCTGAACACTTGCCCTATATAATATAAGCTAAGAAATTATTATGCCTCTTTTTTTAGTATAGCACCCAAACCTGAAAAATTGTTTGATAAAACTGTTTGGCAGGAAATTAACCAGAGTTTATGCACTGTTATTTTGAGCATTCGAAAAAGTAGCCAAAACTGGGTGTGAAATTAGAGTAAAGTTATTAATGACACAAAATCTTTGTCAAGGAAGTCCTTAAACTAAATAATTAAAGGAGGAGTAAAGCCAATGCTGGATTTAAATCCGATCAATTTGGCCACTATTTGTACTATTCATATTCCTTCACAAATATTGGTCCAATTTCAATGCACGGCTTACATCTCACGTTGAACACATGCAAAATTTATGATAATTCGCCATCTGTTAGTACAATATCAACATATCAGCTCATAAAAATATTTACCTTTACAACCAACTTAGTTCCACGTTTTTTGTCTCATAGCTGATGGTATCCAGTAATTATTACTTTAAAAAAGTGGATAAGCATATGCTCGTAACTGTCACTGCCATTATTCTACATGAACGGCAATTTACAAAAGTAGATTGTAGTATCCGATTTGGATTAATGTGCACTCAACAACAACGCTTGTGTTGTGGATCGTAAGTGCAGCAATGGTAAACAGCTGTATTAGTCGCTGTCAGAATCTGAA